TCCAGTTGTTTCACAAACTTGAATATACATAGTATTGTCAATCTTGTTAATTTTAACCATTCTGATGACTTTACTTTCCCTGATGACTCATCAGATTGATACCTCCTCTTATATTTACTGGCCTTTGGATAATTCCTTTTGTGAAGTTCCTGTTAGTATTTTTGCTGGTGGTTTTTTATTGCATAGATTTTTTTTTTCTTAATGATGTGAAAGAGTTCTTTCTATAAATTATATAAAAGACCTTGGTTGTCTACAACTACTTTGAACAGCTTCTATTCTATGGAATGCCTCTTAATCTAATCTCTTTTAGTCATGTAGTTTGTTTTAAAAATTCCCAATTTTAATATATTCTAATATATCAGTCTTTTTCTTTATTATTTATTTATTTATTTATTTATTTTGAGTCGGAGTCTCGTTGCCCAGACTGGAGTGCAGTGGCCGCTCCCGGCCACCACAGCCTCGACCTGCTGGGCTCCAGCGATCCTTCCGCCTCAACCTTCCAAGTAACTGGAACTACAGGCGCGCGCTACCACACCCGGTTGATTTATTGTAGAGATGAGGTCTCGCCAAGTTGGCCAGGTGGGTCTCGAGCCCGCGGGCTCAAGCAATCCACTCACCTCAGCCTCCCAAAGGCACGGGATTACAGGCTGAGCCACCGAGCCTGGCTAGTCTTTTTCTTTATAGTTATCATGTCTTACTTAAAAAACATTTTCCTATCAAGGCCATAAAGATATGTTTCTATGTTATATTTTATAAGCTCTACTGGTTTACCTTTTAAATTTAGATCAATAATACACCTGGAATAGATTTTGCATATTATGTGAAAAGGTCAAGATTAGTTCTTTTCCCGCGGGGATATTCAGTTAACTCAGCACAGTGTAGTGAGAAGGCTATCCTTCCTCACTGTCCTGCAATGTTACAATGTATATTTTGAAACTATTTTTTTATTAGGTTGGTGCATCTTTAAAACTGTTTATCATAATGTAGTGACTTCTTGGCTTCGAAGTTTGACATTCGCAGAGCTTCTCCAGGCTCCTCATATTTAATTTGGCCTATTTTTCATTTTTTAAAACAATTTCACTGTCAACATTTCTGAGTCCTTGTATTTTTGTTGTTTCACTGTAAACAATACATAGCAGGCTTTGAGTTTTATCAATTAAGAATACTCTCTAACTTAATCTTAAGCATAAATCACTTAGTCTGATAACGCATACTTTGAACTGGAATTATATCTGTATCTTATATTAAACATTTATCTTTTTGCCTTATTTGGGGTTGACGAAGCTTTTTAAAAATCTCCTTTCTCTCTTATACTTGAATTTGGGAGTTAAATGTGATTATTTTGGTGTTGGATTTAATTTTTTACATGCAAATTTAAAGTCTAAAGTTAATCAGTTTATCTTTTATTTTCCCGACCAATACAAGACCTTAAAACACTTTAAATCAGATCATCTCCTATTATAATTCTATTGCTGTTAATATCTTTAAATTTATTTTTTCTACAAATGATAATTATTTAGATGTATGCATACTCTCAACATTTATTTATTCTCCAACCCTTCTTGCATTATAAGCCTTTCTTCTGGGAAGTTTTTTTAAATGAAGATCTATTGGTCATAAACTAAGAATTTTATCTGTCTATAAATGTCTTTATTTCACACTCATTCTCAAATGACAATTAAGCTGAGTATATGCTACTACATTTGAGACTTATTTTCTCTCAAAACTTTGAAATAATTTTCTACTATCTTCTAGCCTCTGCTTTTACTATTTAAAATTCAACTGTTCAATCTATGTTGTTATTTTGTGGAAAAATTGCCTTTTCTCACTGGCTACTTTAAGTTCTTCTCCCCACATCTTTAAAATAAAATTTAAAAAAAAATAATAGATCTTCTCCATGTCTTTGGTGTTCTACTACTCCACTAATACACCTAAGTGTGGTTGTCTATTTATCTTGATTTGTATAATCAATTCCTGATATGATAAAAAGATTCTTCCCTCCTTGTATCCATGTCTTTGCGATGTACAGTCCTTCGAGAGATGGAGTTTATTTCTTCACCTCGTGACTCTGGATTTGGCCCATATGATTTGCTTCAGACAACGGAACATTAGTGGAGGTGATAAAGCAAACAAAGTTCTGAAAAGATTAGTACACTGGGATCTGCTCTCTTTTTCTCCTTGGAATCCCAAGGCTGCCATGTGAATAAACTGGGCTAGGCCACTGGAGATGAGAGACCATGTGGAGAACTGAAGAACACCAGTCAACATGCAGCATACCACCGGAGATGTGAAGAGGCTGCCTTAGATCATCCTGCCACCTGCTGGCGCGCCAGGTGACCACAGACACAAGAGAGTGTCTAGCAGGTATCAGCTTAGCCCCGGCCAGACTAGAAAAATCATCCAATCAATATGCAGAACTGCAAGCTCAATGAAAAGCTGTTCTTTAAGCCTCTGAATTTTCTAAGTAACTTGTTATACTGCAATAGGTAACAAACATTTGTGTTTCTTTATGCTTTCTATAATGACAATTGATGTCTTTTTTCAGTTTTAGAAAACTATTGCCCATTTTATTTCTAATAGAATCTTTTTCTGTCTATTATCAAGTCTGGAATTTTCACATATAGTCATAATTTATACATGTATATGTATATAGATAGATATACACACACACACACACACACACACACACACACACATACACCCAAACGTATATATTCTCTATTATCTTCTTGAATTTTTAAATATATATGCATGTATTAATGTACACATGCATGCACATATTCACACATTAAACATATTTATAAAATATTTATGTCTTTTCTACATTTTAATCTCGTTCCTATTTTCCCTCTCTTTATCTCTGAAGCACTGCTATTAGGACAATGACTTTGAAAATACATTCTATTTCACAAATGCTCTTTTCATCTGTGTCTAATCTACTTTTTGACAGATTTGCTGAGGTTCTGTCCACTTCAACAACTGTTTTTCACTTCTGGAAGTGCTTTTTGGTTCAAATATTTCTGGTCATATTTATAATCCCTACTCATCACACAGTCCTTATCATGTTGATTTTTAGACATTTTAAACATAAGAATTTTTTAAAAATTTTTATCTGCTAATTCCAATTTCTACAGTTCTTTGGGCTAATTGAACAGTTTGTCGTTTCTTTCCGCTGTCATTCAGGATGGCTTAAAAACTCATATTATCATGGATTTAATCTGTGTGCATCCTGTAAGGTCTACATTGAAAGTGACTTTCTCCAAAGATAATTTGTGTTTTTTTCATCGAGACTTCCAAGGACTCTAGCCCAGAACCACTTTAAGATAGTTTATTAAAGCTCATTTAGGTTTCAAGACTGCAAAGTGACAGGCAGTGGTTTCAAATTCTCTGGGAAGTAGTATTGTTTTTTTCTTATCTGTTGATGAGCTAGAGAGTGCAGTTTCTGGACTGCCTCTTTTTGCTAGGTAGTAGACGTTTTCTGTTTGTCCTTTCACGGGACGTGTGGGCTTTGAGGTTCCGGCTTTATTTCAAAAATTTCCGTTCCAATTTACAGACATGCATGCGATCTAAATCATTCCTCCCACTCCACAGACTGCCGAAATTAAAGGCGCTCACTGGTATTTTCATGGATTGCTGGTGAGAAATGCAACATGCAAGCACTTTGAAAAATAATTTGGCAATTGCTTGTAAATTTAAACATATAGACCCAGTAATCCCACACCTACACATTTACCTAAGTGAAATTAAAATCTTTGTTCACACAAAAACCTGTATGCAAATGTTTATGGAGGTTTTATTCATAATTGCCCCAAACTGGAAATAACCCAGATGTTCCTGAACTGGGGAATGGATAAACACACTACGGTACATTCATACAACAGAATTGGAATACGACTCAGCAGTAGAACACGATGAACCACTGATATGCACAACCACATGGGCGCATCTCAACACACATACTTACACACAGGCACAACCACATGACCAAGGCAAAACTATAGGATAAGAAAACAAACCAGGGATTGCTAAAGACTTAGAGCAAAGAGAAGGGATTGAATATAAAGTGGCATGGGGAATTTTTAAAGGGAAATAAATGGCTCTTTAACTTAATTATAAGAATGGTTATAATATTGTAGAGGTTTTCCAAAACTTGTAAACTGCACATTTAAAGGCATGCATTTTCCCTCTTATAAATTATACCATAATTTTTTTAATGAAAAAACTTAAGACTCTAAGATCCTGGTATTGGCAGACACCCTTCGGGTTTTTTCTCCCCTCCATGTATTTGGCCCCTAAGAATTTTCCTTCTTATAAACAATGGCAAACTTTTCAAAGATTTTTGATGTATGTTATCTCGCATAATAGACATTTTGAAGCAGAAGGATTAGTAGAATATCTAGTCTGCCACATTGCCAGAAGCAAAAGTCTTCCATTCTTTTAAGGAGCAAGACAATCTTAAAATTTCATGGTATTTTTAAGTTTTTCAATTCTTTTTATCACTGCATCCTTTTGTTTTTATGAAATACAACAGTGTGGCTATTGTATTACTCTCTCTTTAAATAAGAAAACCAAAGCTCAAAGAAACCAAGATTCATTTCCTATATCTAGAGATCTACTCCAAACTGAATTAACATATAGTCTTAGAATGGGAATCAATTTGAGGATTATCGTAAAACCCTCAGAATTGGGAGGCCAATGAGACGAATTTTGAGGATCATTCACATTCTGAATCATTCATACCTTAGGCAAGTCACTTAGCTCTCTGCCTAGTTTCAAAGCACCTACTTCATACTTCATACATTGTTGTGAAAATTAAATCAGTTAATTCATGTCAAGCACACAGAAAAGTACACATCATACAGTAAGTGTTCAATAAGCATTAGTTATCAGTATGCCCTTCCCACCAATATAGTTATCTACACATCTCCTCAAAAAAACATAGAAAATCAAGCATTGCCTACAGATGCAAAAAAAAAAAAAAAAAAACAGTTAGTGCTTACTTTGAATAAGCCATGCTTTTGGTTGCGCTGGCCAAGCCATAAATTGATTCCTGGGGGAAGGTTGGCCTCCGGAGGGTCTATCACACGCTCATAAATCCTGTAGAGGCAAAGAACATGGTTACTAATAGAAAGGCTCAAAGCAGAACCAAAAGCTACACATGCTGTTTGAAGTATGCATTACACTAGCTGCTGTATATGGAGAGAAGAAGCCAATATGCTGCACCCTTTAAGTCACAGGTAACATGAATGTAGAAATCTGTTTCTTGACAACTCTTGCACACGCTGACTATCACCTACCTTTTGGCAGTGGGGTGGAGGAAGAGAGTAACATTTGTTAGTGTCTATTCTGAACACAGAACTTCATGCAAACTCTGTGAGGAAAGTAGTTTTATTCACACATTACAAGTGAGAAAGCTGAGGTTCAGAGAATATAAGTAGGTCAACCAAGTAAAGACAGCAGGAACTATCAGAGTTGGAATGAGAGCCCTTATCCACCTGGCTCCAAAGCCCACAAACTTTCCATTGCACCTGGCTACTTCCCTGGATTTGGTTTATTTAGCTGCTACTCATCTCTACAGTAACCTGAGAGAACCCCTTAAACAAGAGGATAGCAGCTGCCTGGATGATAATGTGCTTAGTCTACAAAATCAAGTAACTGAGGTCATTGTCCAATCAGTAATTATTTATTGAACACTTTTTACACCTCAAACTCCACACGAGGCAACAGGAAATAGAACAATAAATCCAACATAAAGCCCTACTCTCGTGGAGCAAAAGTAAGATAAAATACTATACAGAAGGAAAACCTTCATCTGGTACACACAGGCATATAACTAATACAGAAGAGGTCACAGCCCCAGGATCTTTGAAGGCCCCTACAGAGACCACAGAATAACTGAATGTCTCCATTATTCAGCCCTACCAAGGTTCAGTTTGTCAGTCACAAATCTTTTTATGTGTGCCCCCTTTAGAAATAGTCCCTTTAACTACCAGCTGATCACAAGCCTCCACCTCACCCCAGGCAAGTACCTCTCAGTACCTGATACTCAGAAGATTCTAAGTGGGGTGAGATAGAGTGATCTGTAAATGAGAGCAATGCCCATCCTTTGCTTCCCTCAGTCCTCGCTCAGAGCAGCTGCTGAGGAGTCACTCCTAGGTGTGCCCAGAAGTCTGGACAGCTCATCAGTCCTCCCTGCTGTGATGGAACAGACTACTTCCTGCCAGAGGGTGATGTATTCCTCTGGTGGTTCTCACAAGGAAAATGCGGAAGGACTGAAAGAGTGTCCAGTTGGGTCAAAGAAAGTGAATGATTGTGAGACTGCTGCGGTTGAGAGCTGTCACGTTGCAGCCTTATTTCTTAGCTGCATAGTTCATTATTCGACTATTTCCCACTGCAAATCTGCTGTTTCCTAACAATACGTGCAAGGTATTTCGCTGACAGAGCTCCACGCGTATCAGGTATTTCTCTACTAATTATCTTTCCATTATAAATGGAAGCTCAAAACATAATCAAGAAAAAATGTTTCCCTAAAAACGACAGAATGTGTTCTCCTCACAGGAAACCAACGTTTTGTGTATGTTATAATGAACATTTTCGATGAATCTATTTGTCAAAATTGCTTTAACACAAGAACCTGTTATATACCTCCTTTTAAAAAAAGGTGGGGGTCCCCCTCCCTAATATTAGTGGAAAAACAAGTCAAGTGTGGTGGCTTATGCCTGTAATCCCGGCACTTAGGGAGGTTGAAACGAGAGGATCACTTAAGACCAGAAATTTAAGACAAGCCTAGGCTACAAAACAAGACCTCTTCTCTCTACAAAAAATACAAAAATTAGCCGGGCATGGCAGCACATGCCTGTAGTACTTGGGAGGCTAAGACAAAAGGATCACTTGAACCCAGGAGTTCTAGGCCGCAGTGAGTCATGGTCATGCCACTGCACTCCAGCCTGAGTGACAGAGTGAGGCCCTGTCTCAAAGAAAAAAAAAGTGGAAAAACTAGAAACAAGCCAAATTTACAACAGAAGAGAAATGCATATTATAGTAGATCAGCTTGAAAAAATTTACTACAGTCATTAAGAGTGACAAATATACAAGTTATGAAACATAGGAAAGTATGTACAAAATTACTTTCACTGGAGAAAGGGGATGCAAAATTATGTATGCATTAGGGCGATAATGATGCAAAAATTATGTTCAATGTTGGAAAATATCAGAAGAGGACAGAGAGAAATGGAAATCACTGTATTTAGGTGAAGAGGCAGAAGTGTAATTTCTACAAAGTTGTTTTACTAATAAATTGAAAATATCCAACCATTTACCTTAACCTTCATTTAAAAATATTTGCGCCTCCATGTAAGAGGGGCTTTCCATTCAAAAGCTTTCTCTTTGATATTTACTATGCTAGAACATGAGCTCCAATGAGCCGAATAGACCCTTAATCAACGTTTAAGTGCACAAATGAAGTCAACAACTAAAAAGACCAACTTCCTATCCTGCTTTATCTTCAGAAGCATAATAGCTCCTTGTGCCTTAGAAATAGTTGAGGATGAAAACATCTGAGGTCGACCATCAGCTAAAGCAGGGTGACCCACTGCATATGTGTCAACGTGGTATTCTGATTTCCTGTATCATAGAGCATCACCAGGAACTCCCTCTCACTCATGCTAAAGAAAGTCTACTGGATGCTCTGCCAACTCACTCCAAGAGGCAGTCTGCATTAGGGAATTGCATGCAGCAGGTTGAATCAGCAAACTTGATACAGACGGATCAACATGAAGAGAGTTTAAAAACATAGTATTTTTTTAAAAAGACAGAGGAGAGAATCTAATCATAAGAAGAAAATGGTCAAACTCCAATGGACGGAGATCCCATAAAACAACTGCTTGTGATCATTAAAATGTCAGTGTCACACACAAAAAAGAGAAAGGTCAAAGAACAGTGCATATTAAAGTAGATCAAAGAGACGTAAAAACTATGAGCAAGATGGGATCCTGGATTAGATACTGAGGTGGGAAAAAAAATTCCATAAAGGACATTATTAGGAAAATAGATAAAATTTGAATAAAATCTATAGATTATGCAACACTATTATATGGATACTCAATTTCCTGATTTTAATAATTGAGCAATGTATATTTAAGTGAATGTCTTGTTCTCAAGAAATAGACACTGAAAGATTTATGGACAGAGACCATGATGTTTGTAACTTAAGTCTCAAAGGATTCAAAATGATAATAATGTGTGTATTTATAAGTATGCCCATATACAAATACTAGCACATTATTACTATTGCAGAATCTGGGCAAAAGGTTTTTTTTTTTTTTTGAGTTGGAGCCTCACTCTGTCACCCAGACTGGAGTGCAGTGGCCGCTCCCGGCCACTGCAGCCTCGACCTACTGGGCTCCGGCGATCCTTCCGCCTCAGCCTTCCAAGTAGCTGGAACTACAGGCGCGCGCTACCACGCCCGGTTAATTTTTGATTTATTGTAGAGATGAGGTCTCGCCAAGTTTCCCGGGCGGGTCTCGAACCCACGGGCTCAGGCAATCCACTCACCTCAGCCTCCCAAAGAATTGGGATTACAGGCTGAGCCACCGATCCCGGCTCACAAAAGATATTTGATGTTCTTCATACCACTCATAACTTTTCTCTGAGATGAAAATTATTTTAAAATTAAAGGTTTACAAAATAGAGTAATAAACCAAAAGTTCCATCATGTATGCAGACTAAAAATACATGCATGCAACACAATATTATATATTAGCTAGGGATACTGGTAGCATTTTTCTATCACACACCTGGTGGGAATGGTGAGGCAGAAAAAAAGGGCATGAATGAATGGATGGATGAAATGAAACAAAACAAGAAGGGGAATTGCACAAAATAATGCCAACAAGGTGTATTATAAACTAAGAAATAGGATTATCATATGCCAATATGTACCCCTGCACAATGGGGGTTATACATGTCAGACAAGTACAGGCAAAATCTTGGTAACAAGGCTGCTGCTCCCTGAGGTACAGCTCAGGTGGACTGGATTATGGCAGGCCAGGCATAATGTTCTATCACTTACATCTAGTGTCTCCCAAGTCAAGTGAAATGAAAAGCCAAAGCCAATATAGTGAACTCCTTGCTCTCCAGTGTGGTAAGGAAATGGAACTTTCTGGTACTTACAGTATTCTAGTTAACGAGGTTTCCTTCACATCAGCAAATGTCAGACTACCTACAATGTGTGTGACACTGTGCTTGCTATGGGTATACACACAGGTAAATGCAAAACGACCAAGTCCTTATCCTCAGACTCAATGCCTGAGACAGACAGATAACATCTATGCACACATCTTATAATTGAATACATTCAGTGCAATGCTTCATGAAAGCCAAAGGGAGAAAAATTTCAGAATGTTGCCTGCCATCATCAGAGAAGGGATTCCTAAGAAGGGGACACCACAGCTGAGTTCTGAATGAAGAATGAAGTGGAGCTGACATGGCAGATGTAACAGCCAGCACTTAGTGTGCGCCAAGCATTGTACTGAGGGCTTTCAATAATTCATTCACTGAACTCTCATAACAGCACCATCAGGTGGGTGTTCTTGGCTCAGCAAGGTTAGATAATTTGTCAACAGTTGAACAGTTTGTGAGTGACAGAGTGGGATTTGAACTCAGATCCCACAGTCTGTGCTACTGACCATCTCATTCAAGTGCCTCACTAGACAAGTGAGCAAGGGCAGTTCCAGTCACAAAAACCCCTTTCAAGCTATTGTTTATTAAAGAGTTAAAATTCAGGAAAACGGAAACAGTAAATACTTCCAGAGCAAATAATGAAATAGATGATGTTCTTGGATGACTCAGAAAGTACCTCAAGATTTGGTGGAGGCTCTGAACAGGAGAGGACATGATTTACATGTCCTGGTATGTCCTCATGTCACAGACAGGCATCTCCCCCCCCCCCCCGCCCCCCAACAGAGCAACGTGAAAACCTAACTCATTCAAATAAACTAGCATTCCTAACTCCTAACTTGACTTTCTCATCAAGAAGGAAAAAGTGAAACAAGCATGTGACCAAGACTGGTTAGCTCTCCAGGAACCCACTTTGTTTT